GAATTCGGGGAGTTGAAGTCCGCCAGGCATAAAGTTGCCAAGGTTGGAGACCCCTGGTCTAAAGTATTACCTGTATATCTCAGGTCAATTTCAAGATCTCCCAGAATTTCCAAGCCAGGAGTTAAAATCCACAGAAGTCTTAAAAATGGCCAAGTTTGAAGACTCCTGGTGAAGTGGTTTGAAAACTCCAGAGCGAAACTCATTCGGGAGATCACAATTGCCATTTTAAAAAAGGATATTAAACAACAACTTAAACCAGTGGTGAAATTCAGTTTTTTTTTACTACCGGTTCTGTGGTTTGGTGGGCAAGGCAGGGGAAGGATATTGCAAAATCCCCATTTCTTCCCCACTCCTGGGGGAAGGATATTGCAAAATCTCCATTCCCTCCCCACTCTGGGGCCAGCCAGAGGCGGTATTTGCCGGTTCTCCGAACTACTCAAAATTTCCGCTACCGGTTCTTCAGAACCTGTCAGAACCTGCTGGATTTCATCCCTGGCTTAAATGAAAGATTATCATTGGGCACTGGGCAGGGTTTTCTGTAGCCCTCGATACTGCTTTGTACACTTCAAAGAGGTTGTGGAAGAGTTGGTTGTCAAAGTTCACACTTGTGGTTTTGTCTAAGGCTGCGCTCACATGATGTCTTAAACTACAAGCTCATCAAATCCTCTTTTGCAGAGTGCGCAAAACTCAACTGACCAGCCCATGTTGCTAATTTTAGGGAAGAGCCATAAATTGAGGCGCCACAAATTGTGTGTGTGTGTGTGTGTGTGTGTGTGTGGTAATTTTTGTGCATTAGAAAGTTGGCTCTCTCAGGGGTGGGTTCTACTTAACCTTTACTACCGGTTCGCAACAGGAGCGCGTGCGCTTCTGCGCATGTGCAGATCGTCAGTTAAGACGTCCGGGCGGGTGGGCGGAGCCTCCTGCCACTTTTACTACCGGTTCTATAGAACCGGGAACAGAACCGGGAACAACCCACCTCTGGGCTCTCTCCTCAGGTGACAAAATACCTCCCTATAATTCTGGAGGTGCTGGGTGGGGAATTCTGGGAGTTGAACTTCAAGTATCCTGAGAAACACGGGCCTTAGTATGCTAAAAACTGCATACCACAACCATTGCCAGCAGCCCCAGGGTTCTATAGAGCATGTGCAAAAGGCAGGATTTCTCTCCCTGCTTACCTGAGATGGAAAGATCTTACTTGCCTTGCATGCTTTTTGCTTTAGTGCTAAGCAGTTTCCTTTTTTTTAGTCATTTTTATTTGTTTTTTAATTTAATTTTTTGTTTTTTAATTTTATATTATTTTAATTTTTTTTTAAAAAATTCATTTCGTGCTGTTTTACACCACCCGGAGCCACGTTGTTTGAGTTCTAAATAAATAAATGTTTTAAACTTTAATAACGGCATCCTTCTAACCCACCGTCTTCCTGAGAAAAGGTGAGCTGTCCCAGATTCTAAATCCGGTGTGGCAAAAGAGCCTCTGACTCAGCCTCTTGACATGCCCAGAGGCCAGGAATTTATACTTGAAGGCAGATAGATGTGTGCAGGAAAGAGGAAAGCTCATTTTTTTCCTCCTTTCTTTTCATCACATTTTTTTGCATTTTGAATTAACTTTTTGCTTTCTTTCTTTCTTTTTCTTTTTTCTCCCATGCTTTTTATTAGCCTGTATTCATTTTTTTCTTTCTTTCTTTTAAAACATTTTAATAAAAAATTTATGTGTGTGTGTGTGTGTGTGTGTGTAGTAACTGCAGTGAAGAATATAAGAATCTCTTTGAGTCTTTGGATCTGAGTAGTGTGGTGACCCAGTGGTGAAGACTCTTGCCTCCCACTCAGAAGGTTGAGAGTTCAATCCAGTGGTGAAATGTAAAGTTTGTTACTACCGGTTCTGTGGGCGTGGCTTGGTGGTGGTGGGTAATGTGACTGGGTGGGCATGGCCAACTTTTTTTTTTTTTTACTTTTAAAACCATTTTTTCTACAACCTCTTCGGCAGAAAAAGCATCTAAAAAGATGCTTTTAAAAGCTTCTGACGATCCCAGCTGAGTTGCCTGCTGAAGAGATTGTAGAAAAAAATGCTTTTAAAAGCCTCTGACGATCCCAACTGAGCCGCAGGATCATCAGAGTCTTTTTTTTTTTTCAACTTTTAAAAGCATTTTTTCGGCCGAAGAGGTTGTAGAAAAAATGTTTTTAAAATTTTTTAAAAAGCCTCTGATGATCGTGTGGCTCAGCTGGGCATGGCGTGGGGGGAGGGATTTTTGCTACCGGTTCTCTGAATCACCCGCCGCCATCGCTACCGGATCAGGCGATCCGGTCCGAACCGGGAGCATTTCACCCCTAGTTCAATCCTAGGTAGTGGTTAGATGTTTCTCTCTCTCCTAGCACACGAAGAAAAAATATATATTGTGAACTCCATGTGGCATCAGGAAGGGCATCTGACCAGTAAATGTTCAGCTCCATCTAGTTTTCCTGATTCTGACCCTGAATGAAGGAATTACAGGGTTGTAAAAAGGGATTTTTTGAGTCTTTGAGGATTGGTTGTAAGTTGCTTTTTTTTTCTTCCATGTCCTAAGTTTGAATAGTTGTTAAATGAATGATTGTTAAATTGAGGATTGCCTGTAATCCCGACTATTGTTTAGGAGGTGTTCAAAATTTACTTATTTATCCATCATTTTGCAAAAGCTGTTGTTGGAAGGAATAGGGGAGGGTTATAGAGTTTTTTCCCCCCCCGAAGTCCATGAAGAACATTTTGGTTTAAATCTTAGCACCTGTGGTTAGATTTTAGCATTGGCTAAAAGGAAGCCCTTAGTCAGTCATGATTCAAACTCTCTTGGCTTGAAAAACGGGGGAAGTGATCTAAGCATTTTTCATATATTGCTGTATTTGCAACGCACACACAAGCACACACACACAAATCTATCCATTATCTTACATAATGCAAGACTGGATAACGGAAGAGAGACGAACATTTTGTTTCATTTCTTCTACGTCAATATTTCGTAAGACGTATTTATTTGTTTATAGCATGCAATGCTTTTTTTAAAAAATATTTTGGTTCCAGTGATTTTTCTCATGAGGTTTATGGCGTCTCTCAGTGGTGAAATTCAATTTTTTTTTAGTACCGGTTCTGTGGATGTGGCTTGGTGGC